GAAACAAGGCTTTTAGTAACAACATTTGTCGTTGCTAAAAGTCCATTTATCATTAGAAAGAGTATATAGCAACAACATATCGTCGCAATAACTTGTGGCGAAAATATGTCGTCGCTAAAAAGCGCATCGTCAAAGCTCACTTTTCTTGTAGTGACCCTCGAGAAGTATGAAAAAAATTAAATAAATGTTTTTCATTTTGTATAAAATTGAGTACACAAAATGCTAATAATTTACTAAGAAAATAAATATTATTAATCTTTATTATAAATATATAAGAGAGTACTTAAATTTCCGTACATGTTATTTAGGTAATTTGAAACCAAAAATATAGAAATTGTGATTAATAAATTTTTATAAAAAGTAAGAGTTTTTTTTAGTTCATAACAAGAAATATGTGTTATTTTGGTAAAAAAAATGAATTGAGATGAATGAAGTAATCGTAAGGGTCAATGAGAGATCAATAGTAGAGAAGATTATCAAGGTTTTCTAGACAAGTAGACAAATAAAGATCAATAAGAATATGGAAGAAAAGATGATCCATTGAAATTCAATTAGAATAAATAATAAATTAAACATATAATTATAATGTGCAAGCTCAACAAATGGTTGTTTGAGTATTTAAATAAAATCTTGTGATGTGGTGGAATTCCAATGAAAGATACATAAGTCAAACAATTCTATTTTCTTTCTTATGTTTGTTCAACTAAAATAAGATGTAAAGATTAAAAGTTTATGCAACATAACATATATAATAGACATTACCAAATACATCTAGTAAGAAAATTTATTGATTAATTACAAAACCATGAAACACGCCATAAATAATAATAACAATAGATTGATTTGTCAAACAATAGTAAAATATTTTCCGTAGAAGAAAAAATAGATAACAATAGTCAACAAAAACAATTAGAACAACATACCAAATAACAATATCCAATAGAAACAAAATAGATAAAATATCCAACAAAAATATATAGCGATAGCAAGCACATGATCTTAACGTTGAATTGTTGAAGCAAAAAAACAGTCAAACATATAGAGATAACAATAACCAATGTCATTGGACCTTGCTGGAGATAAAAAAAATAGATAGACAATAAACAATAGCATATGATGAATGACCAAAGTTGATATATTTTTGGGCACTTATTATATACTAAATTCTTTTTACCTCTTATTGTATGCTACAAAACTTTGGGTTTCGTTAATTTATTAAGAAGAAAATTTGGGCCCTGGACGTGCGTCTGTGCCGCCCTCCCCGAAGGACGACCCTGTATTCATGTAAAACAAAACAAACTTTAAATTGTCAGTCGTTTGGGTATTTCTTGTTTATAGGATATTGATATAATTGATTAGTACGCTATTAGTTAAGGGTTGTTTGACAGTTGTTGAATGGTTTGATATAAAATGATTAAGTGGACATAATGATTAAAAAAACTCTTATAATATAATACAAAATGAAATATAATTGTTTGGTACTTATTCAGAATAAATTAAGTTGCTGAATGGTTAAGGGAGGCTCAATCTGTAAAATCATTCAGAGGTTTTTAGAACCATTAAAAGACAAAAAAAATTGTCAAACAAAATTTATCTCTTAATAATTCAAAAGTTATCTCTTAATAAAACTATTAAAAGGTAAATAAACAACTCTTTAGATATTATCTATTTATTTTATTAATTTAATATATTTTTTTTATCAAGTTGCTACATAATTCTTGTTTTGAAATTCGTCATAAAATGGACTTGAAGTACTTGGATTTGTAACTTGTAAGGGTCATGGATTTCATGGCCTCTCAATAAATTCATACCCCATACATTAATTGGCATAAACCTAAAATATGGTTTTGAACCACAAAGATAGTGCCTGGTTGGTTTGAGCTTGACTTCAAAGGTCAAAAGTGTCAGGAAATCTCATGTTCAAATCCAAAGAGAAATAAAAAACTCTTGTGGCCACGGAGATTCAAATGCAGTAACTCCGGGCTATCTGCAAAACAAGTGGTCGTCCTGAAATTAGTCGGCTCACGTAACGGGTTAGATATCCATGTTAATAAAAGAAATGGTTTTGATTTTTGAAGGGCAAAAAAGAGAAATCAATCAAAGATAATCCTACTCTTCAATCATTCATTAGCAAAGTAACTATATACATGAAGAAATTTAACATACACTTGGCCAATACCCATGCCTAAATGACCATTTTACCCTCCACCAAAAAGTTTATACTACATTACCATCTTCCTCGTCGAAGCTTCAAACTTTAATGCAAGTCATGGACTTCTCTTGATACCCAGTACGTTAATCAACTCTACCTACAAACACAAAGGTACGACTAATATAGCTAATAGTACAACTATGAAGTAAATCATGGCTCTTTCCATTTTTGCCCTTGCTCTTTCCACGCCATTGCACCTCCATTTTTGCATCTGCTTCAAGAATGGAACTACAGATTCGAAAACGATTTAAGGGATAGAATAGTAATAGTTATCGAAAAGAAACAAATGTGGGTGGCAGGAGAACAAAAACCAGTAGTTTCTTGAAATCTTGATCATGGGGTTTCAAGAAAACATGAAGAACTAAAAGAGGGAGTCTTGAAGTTTGATGGTGATTTTGAAATGGGTTTTGTCAATTATGAAGTGGGTTGGGTCCAGAAGGGACTAATCTTTTCAAAACACCGTATCTTGGATCAATATCTTCATCAATTGGCGGTGGAGGATGAAGCGGCGGCGGCGGTGGTGGTGGATGTGGTTGTCGGAGTTGAGGAAGATGCGGACGGCAATGGAAATAATTGCAGGGAGGAGATGGGTGTCTTTGGGTGGAGATGGTGGTGAAAGAATGGTGATGATCATGGAGTTGGTGGCGGCGGTGAGGGTGGTAGGTGATGACGGAGGCTGCCGGCGTGGTGATGGATGAAGTGATGGTGATGACGAAGAACGATATCAGTAAGAGATATAAAAGGGGTTGTTGAGATGAAGAAGAGAGAGAGTTCTTCATTTTGTGTGTGTGGGTTTTTAGTGAGAGAAAGATCAGTGGGGATTGTATTTTATAACGGTGGTGGTGGCGGAGGACGGTGGTGGTGGATGCGGCGGAGGATGACAGATGAATATGGAAATGGTTATTATTATTAAGAATAAAGAAGAGAGGTCGCCATCTTCTCTCATCAAAGGAGTCACGCATATTCACATACAGGCGGTTGTGCTTATTTTTTCTCTGGTTATTTTGAGTTCTGACATTTACATTATGGACCCACAAATTTACCATTTTTACATGATTCACCCTTCAGTTTCTAACTTTAAATATAGAGAAATAAAAACAGAACCATGGTGTAGAAGAGTTGTATGACATGGAAACGGGGAAGGGATGAGGTGAGTTTTTTTAATTTGTGGGTTTGGCTCCGGTTTTTATGACGGTCTCCAATGGGTGCGGGGATTAATATCCCGTCCCAGATTATTTTCTGGTCAAACCCGGTAAAATCTCGATCCTCGTCTCCAGTCAAACCTAATTTTAGGAAATAAATAATATACACACATATAATATATTATATAAAATATATTAATAAAATTATATATCAGGTACCGGGTAAATTGGGAAAAAAAATACTATTACACAAATAAATTAAAAAAAATGTTGTCCCTTTTCAAAATTATGAAATAAATGGATTATTTAATTTTCTTTTGACAACTATGAATTGATTTTACATTTTGATAATAAATGATATTCTTTACAAGCAATTTATTCAAATTAAAATAGTATTAAAACCATAATTAATTTGCTCATTTACTTTGTTGACCCAAAGATAAGTACGTAATATTATTTTTAATATATTCTTTAAAATAGAGATTTTAATGATTTTTAATTTAACAGTTCAAAACCTTCATAAAAATGAAGAAAGTAGGAAAAAGAGTGAAATTCTTTAAATTTGGAGAACTCTCCAAAATGATTACTTATGAAATAGAAATTATTTTTTATTCTTCCTTATGATGAAAATATTTGAAATTAAATGTATAAAAGAGATAAAAAAAATACTTGGGATAATAACGTAAATATCCGTTTTATCTGACTCTATTCACCTCTTAGCAAACTCCCTTCCACACTTACCAAAAAGTCAATACCTCTCTAAGTGCCCTTGTCACAACTTATGGAGAGGATACTTTCTAAAAATACTCAAGCGTCACTCTTAAACCTGGGGAGGGTTGCAAAAGGGGTGAAAGCTCAAGTTTCAAACTTGCGAAGGTGCAACTCTTCTGAAGTTTCCATTTTTCATAAAACAAGCTCCATGACAAGTTAAGTCTACTATTTCCCTCACGTGTCATATTAATCTCCATGTTTAGAAAAAATCAAGATTAAATTCTCTTTTTCAGATATTGTTTGGAAAAAAATCACTTTTTAGAGAAGTGCACTACAGGTTGCGGCCTGGAGACTTGTAGAGGTATTGACTATTTGGTGAGTGCGGGGGAGAGTTGGCAAAGGAGATGACTTGAGTCAGGTAAAACGCTATTTATGTTAATTTCTCATAATATTTTATGAATGATATTGAATATTTTAATAATATAATTCATATTGTATCTCCAGAATGAGAAGATATTAGAGATGGAACATATTTCTTTTGAGATTTTAATTTTTGATTCTTCATTTTAAAGAAGGTTGTTGGAGATGCACTCATAATTACCCCGTAAGATGAACGACCCCATAAACACACACCCAATCAACGTTTGACAAATCAATACACGAATTTTAAACTTTGATCCAAGTTAAAAAGCTATCCCATGGTGCTCATAGCTTGAACTTGCTAATGTTAAGACCTAACTTGATCTTGCAAAATGCAACCTTCGTTAGTCCCTTGGTTTGGCCATGTTCTAACCATGTAAAGTAAACATGTATACATGATGATGAAATATTTTTGCATTTATATTTCTCAATGCAATTTATTCATATACAAAAAATAAATAAAAATATAGATACAACAACATACGAAGTTGGATGGATGGCATGTACGTTCTTTTTCATTTATCAAGCAATTTACGTGCACGAGTGTTTGCGCCTTTGACTCGTGAGTTTAGCTCATCAACATCCTCCGAAAGATCATCAAGAGCTTTGTTTTGCCTGCATTAATTTCATCAAAACACACACAACTCCTTTAGTTGTCCCTTGTATATACTAATTTAAAAGGATTAAAGATTAATAAACTAAACTCACCTGTCAAGTTCAGATCCCATTTCAGAAGCCATTCCCTTCAGATCACCCAATACATCGCTTAAATCATCCAATGCCTCATCTTGTTTTTGCTTCTCCAACTGATTGATTTTATATGAAAACCATTAATAACAATTCAAGAACAAATGGTTATATTGCCATATTCAATGGCAGCCTTGAAAACAGAAGCGGGGTTCCAACATATACAGAGAAAAAATTATTTAAGTCTAGTTGATGTGAGACTCTAGCACACCTCATCGAGTGGCACAGATTGTCCTAGACTGTTAAGAGGGGATTGATGGATGAGTGAAGATTGACCCGTGGTGTCTAGTACTTAGAGTAGTAGCTCTGATACCATGTGAGAATATCCCCAAAAGATTCCTTAATAGCATCTTCCATATTTGGAGATTTTTCCTTTCTCTTTCCTATGTTAGATGTTAGAGCATTTTTTTTCCTTACTTTCCAAAATTTCTAATATAGCATAGTTGTTGAAGATACTTTCTAAGGAAAGAAGAAAGGTTCCAACATATATAAAAGAGAAATTGTTCAAGTTTAGCTGACATAAAACTCTAACATTAACAACACATACCTCAACTTGCTCCATGGCATCCTTTGGTTTAGCACCTCCAGCTCTAGCGCCCTTCTTCCCTTTTGGTGCATGACCCAAACCCAACTTCTCCCTGTCCTCCTTACTTGCTTTCTTGTCTGCTTTGTCATCTGCCCAAACACAAGACACAACTAGCTATTGTCTATATCAAACAAGATAATTAAGTAGATGACAATTAATGTGGGCTATTGGCAAAGCAGAAGATGGTTATACCATTTCCGTTGACACTAACTTGTAATCTTTAGGATGTGATGTCACTCTTTTATCTATCATCTATGTTAGACTTGTTCATGGGCAGTACGGTCCGCTCGTCAGCTTAAAAAAGTAAGCTTGGATAATCATTCTCAAAAAAATGAAGGGCTCGAGTTGGACTGCTAAAATTAATGGGCTAGCTTCGGCAATGGAAAAAATAATTCAGATAAGCCCGTCCAACCCGTTATATTTTATAGTTGATTAAAATTTATATATAAATTAATAATTTGTTTTTTATTAAAAAGATGTAGAAGTGGCTTTGGGTTAGATGCCCTCTACTGAGTACTGAATGTCACGCAAATAAATATAATATACGATATTTTATATGATACGTCTAGAATCTCGATCTTGAAATATTAGGTGGATAAATATTTTGTTATTGGAAAAACCCGGACTTTGAAAGTTGACAAATCATTGAAGAAAAATGTCCACACTCCATTTATTGTGAAACTATTTTTTTCATACACTATGTACATTGATATATTTTACGTCTTATTTTATGTTGGAAGTAAAGTATGTAATTTATATGATTTTATAGAAGTTTTGTTTTTCAAATGTTCAAAGAATAAGCCTGTTAGCTCGTGAGCCCGGCCCGTTTATGAGGCGGTATGGGAAAGTCTATAAGCCCATAAAACGAGCTTGAGTTTGCCATATTGGACCTGCTGGAAAAAAAAAATTATGGTAGACCCGACCTAAATCTACAAATGATCATCTCTAATATATGTATATGTGCATGTGCTTCGTAATGATTTATGCATGGAGGAGAAATCCATAATAACTCCGCACATATCATTACTTTTTTTAAATATATATTTGCTAAATTCATTTTATTTTTTAATTTTTTTAATAAAGTAATGAAAGATTCATCTGTGATTGGAGACAAATGATCTATATTCGAAATTAAAGACATGGAGTTGAAACCTTTAATTGGCTCCGGCCCTGTGATTTCCTTCCCCTTCTTTGGCTTCCAAGTCATGGAGAAAATCCCTCCCAGATTCCCCAAAATCTTTTCACCCTGTAATCAACATTAGATATTCAAAGAAACACATTAATTCCTTAATTTCATCTTTGGATTATAATGTAGATTATAAATCTACATTATAATGAACTAATAACAGTAATTGAATACAGAAAATGTACCCTGCTTAAATCTTTATCCATTTCAGCAGCCTTTTCATGGGTCCTATGAATCTGCTCCCCTTGAGCATGCAAAGTATCAAGGGTCTTACTAGCATCCTCTCTGATATCTTCTGCTATTTTCAAGGCATTATTTACACTTTTCGTAGTTTCTTTAGCCTGATCTGCAGCATATTGTTCTAATTCCTGATTAGACATGCTGTCCAGATCAGCTTTACTCTTTGGTTTTTTCCTAAGTGTTGTAGTCTTTTTTCCAAAGAAGTCATCGTCATCGTCGTCATCGTCGAAAGGGTTGGTCTTTTTAGAGTCTGGAACAGGGAGGGCTGGTTCAGAAGCAGTCCTTCTAGCAGGTGCTTCTTTCTTTTCTGCTTCAGCCTCCGGAGGTTTTGCAGGACTAGGTGAAGCTGCTTTTCTAAACCCAAACATGTTTCCAAATTAGACGATACCTTAGCCTAGAACTATATTCTTCAGCAGTGATACCTGAAAATTTGCGAAACAGATTTACAAATATGACAAAATAATTTCGAGTTTGGACTTGAAATGAGTCAATTGTGCAACGTTAATTGACAAATGTAACAATCCAATTGTATATAGAACCATTAATCGATATTAGCATAAGATGTGTTGATCAACCACAATGAAAAATGAAACTAATCGTGAATGAATCATGACTTTAGAATTCGAACTAGAATTTGCCGCGCATTCAAGCTTTCCATGGATTTATGGCAAAGGCAAGAACAATATATATCTTCGAGGTTGTAGCATTTGTTGCAAAATCGAACATAATCCTCAGATTGTGATATTGAAAATGAATCTAATCCTGTTGATCATAGACTTTTAATTACGTCTCTCCTAATGAGCAGATCAAACGTAGAATCTGATGATATGAACGAATTAGTAAACATTAATCGGCGAATTCCAACTTTTAATCAGAAACTAACTTCGAATCAAACAAATGCTAATCGGAACCAACATTTAACAGAATCAAAATCACCGGTATCTAATATTCCGAGCAATAAACATAAACAAGTAACAATTACCCTCCGGCCGATCAAATTTCTTTTCCTTTACTGTTTATGGCGTTACGAGGAGAGAAAACGGTGAAAGAGTCTTCTCTCCGATGAAGAGATAAATTGAGAAATGAAGTGCGATATTAGGTTACAAATTTGGGGGTTTTGAGGTGGAGATGGATCGCACAAATATCACAGAGATGATCGAGCGGCAATCCAAAAATTCATGTTGGCTTCAGCAAAATTGTTTGTTCCGCCATATTTTCAGGTTCGAACCGTTGGGATTCATTGTGCATGGAAATTTCAATCTCTTCAAATCACAATTAAATGAAATTTTCTCCACCTGTGCATGCTTTTAGAAACCACTATCGACCTTTAAACGTAAATTTGTTGTAAATTTATGGAATTAGAAAATATACAAAATTCGTCCCTGTAATTTATGTATTTCAACATTTTGGGTCCCTATTTTCAAATATCTATGGATTACATCCTCGTGGTTTACATCTCGTAATGCGTTGGGTCCTTGTTTCTAACTCCTTAAATTTTTCTGTTAAGTAGGTCACATAAAAGGGTATTTTACTATTTTTTGTTTTAGTCTTATTTTCTATTTAAAACCACAGGTTCAAAAACATGTAATTAACTATACACATATCAAACCCACACCCTAACTTCATCTTCCCAAACCCACCCCTCACGCTGAAAAACCATCTTCTCGTAGATCCACGATTCATTTAATAGAAAAACGAAGAACCTACTAAAAAGACTGAAATACCCCTCTGATTTAAGTCAATTAACAAAACTTGTTAGACGAAGTTAGAGTTAGGGACCCAGTGTATTATAAAAAGAAAATCATAGGGATGTAATACATAGATGTTTTAAAATAGAGACCTAGACTATTAAAACACATAAACCACATGGATCAAAAATGTAATGTACTCTAAATAATAAAATGAGAGGGTATGAATAGTAAGCCTTTTTATTTATCCATAAAATTACAGTATTTCACAACAAACGTATAATCTTTTAAAATTTCATGCTTAAACAAGATAAAAATAACTCAAAAACCCGATCAACCCGATCAACCCAATCCAACACAACACAAAATAGCTCAACGCGATGCAACCTCATGTCTAATCGAGTTGTAAAATTGTCAAACCGTAAGTATTGGGCTGATATTGGGTTACTATTATTTGAACTCAATCCAACCCGATGAACCCGATATCCTTTTATTTCTTGGATTTAATATGATTGTTGAATTTATATTAATATATATATTAGACAATTACACTATCATGTATGCTCTTTATATACACATTTTCGATCTATTCACATATTTATATAACTCATTCGTATATATGTTCAGTAACTGTGAACATATATATGTAAATTAAGAAAATTAACTGAATGTGATATACGTAAGAAGTATGGATAAGTTATATCAAATGGTTGATGATGAAAAAGAAATTATGAGTAGAGAAATAACATATTCTAGATTAGAAGAATATTTTAATGTACCAAAGTATCAACCCGACTAACCTGACCAACTCGTACGGGTTGGGTTGGGTTAAGAATTTTTCAAACCACAAGCATTGGTTGGGTTGTTCAAATGTCTTCAACCCGATCAACCTAACATATAAGCACCCCTAGTCATACCAATAAATTACATGTTATTTTTAAATCTAAAAAGTTTAAATTATAATATAATTTTAAAAATTAAACATATCATGCCAAAAACAAACAAGTTTATAATATTTAACATTCATATCATTACTCTTTTTCAAGTTTCTTTAATCGGATTTCAAATTAACAAGTTATATTCAACTTTCATTTGTATTTTTTATTTTGTTCAACATAAAGTTTTTTTATTTTTCCTTTTTAATGAGAAACTGCATTAATTTTTCATTGTTATGTTGTCTTGTACGGGATACACAACAAGTTCTTTTTCAAAGACAGTAAATTGTTTGTGTGTTTTAACACTTTAGGTCCTTATTTTGAAATATCTATGGATTATATTCTTGTGGTTTGCAATTTATATCGTATTAGGTCACTGTCATTAACTCCTTCCAAAAAAATTATGTTAACTCAATTAGTTTAGAGGGGTATTTTAGTCATATAGTTTGTTTTTTATTTTATATTAAAACCATATAGACCAAGATTGTAATTTACTCTTACATTATTTATCGAATTATTATAATTGTTATATATATATATAAACCTAATACAGATATCTCATCTTTTCAACCCTACCCCCTTCCCAACAACCTTACTCCGGGAGCACACACACGCTAAAGACCACCGTTTCCTCCCTTACTCCATAGTGGTGGATCTAGAAATTTTGGTGATGGAGGTCGGAATTTAAGTAATGCCTACGTGCTCATGTGGTTTTTGTCGTCCTCTACTTAAATATTTTTATATTGGGTTAAAAAAAATTCAAACCGTAAGTATTGAGTTGAGTTGTTCAAATGTCTTCAACCCAATTCATGAACACCCCTAGTAGTAAACATTCCAATGTCTCTAAAAATGTAACGTACAACTTATTTCGATGAAGGAACGATATTTTTTTTAAGTTTTACAAACATTATAAACTGTTTTTTTTTTTTTAATTTTAAAACAGTAAAATAAATGTTATCTTTGCTTAATGCAATGGTGTTAATCTCTCTTTCTATAACTATTTTTATAACAAACCACTATTAGTTAACACTTTATGCTACTAAACCCTATTAAAACAATGTTTTAACATAGTTTTTGTACCACAAAAAATTGGTACCGTAGGTTTCTGGGTTAGCTTATGTGTACCGATGAATACTCTGACGACCAAGAACGGTTGGATGCCTAATCCGCACCACAAATTGGTCTGGATTCGTCTTAAAGTCACTATTATGTTTTCTATTGTATTTATTGTTTAAGAAAAATCTCATATTATTATTTTATTTCGTTTACATTTATAATATGAGTGATATCTCATGCATCTTTAACGAAAATGACAAATTGTATCAGTTATAACACATATTTTGTTTGGATTTATATTTTGAAAAACCGACTTTTAAAAAACTTAATTTTAATTTCTATAATAATACATCTAACTAAGGTATTTCAAAATAAAAATATTTATTATTTGATACTATAAATTTACTATTTTGAAAATATGATAATCTATACTATATTATAAAACATTTGACAAATGCTCTTAAAAATCATTCTTTATGCATGAAGTACTGTGTATTAATGAATGTTACTTAAAGTTTAAGATTACAAGTAAATTTTGGATAAGTACAACTTATTAAAGCTTTATTTTTGAATTCATAAACTAAATGCAGATAAATATAATCAAATACATGATCAACATCTCATTTTAAATGTTAAAAATCTATAGTATAATTAGGATAATTATTGAGTTATAACAGAATCATATATTTATAAAAATTATATTGTTAAGCCAGAAATAAATTACTTCGCTATGAAAAATAAATTAAATTATAAGAAATTTTTATCGATATTAATATTGATAATTTTTTTTTAATTTTTTGTAATATATTTAAATTTATTTTTATTCAAAAATTCGAACCTTATTTTTCTCAAAACCACATAAACTATAGTATAATAAAAAACAAAAAATAAATAAAATATTAAAATAAAAATATATCTCACTATATTACATAATTACTTTCTTTTTAATAATTATATAATGGGCGGAGGAGGGGAGAGCCCGTACAATTCCCAAAAGACACATGAATATGAACAAGTGAAGTTGTTTTGGGTGGGGTACATTTTTCTGACACAAGGATATCAACAATTGAAAAGGTGCTTTTCATATATAAAATATCTTCTTTTATCATTAAAAATAAATTTAATTTAATAGTGGGTTAAATGTATTTTTATATATTATTTAAATGCGTTTTATTTAATAAGTTTCTTATTAAATATATTATTATAAAAACTCATTTTTTATATTTTTAATATATGATTTGATTTGATTTTAATATTAAATGAGTGTAAACAGTGGCAGATCCAGGTTTTTGGTCTAGTGGGGGCACTTTTAAGGTAGCTTAAACGCCCACAAAGTCGTCCGATGTGTTTTTAGCCTTATTCCACTATTCCAAGAGATTTTTGAAGTTTTTTGGATCATTTCGAGGGATTTTTAAGGGTTTTTTTTTTATCAATTTCGAGGAACTTTTCAAATTTTTGGTTGATTTCAAGATACTTTCTTTAGTTGGTGGGGGCCTAACAAGAAATTACGGAGGAAAACCATGGTAGAAATTAAAAAAAAAACAACTTTTACCCTTAGAAAATTCATTTTTTTATTTTTTAATAGGGGTCTTTCCCCCCACCTTTTACAAGGTAGGTCCACCCCTGAGTGTAAATAATAATTCTCTTTAACATTTCACATCATTTAAATAGAGATTTGAACTTACTAAGTACACTATCGAATTCTAATTTGCCAAGAGGCTTGGACTATGCTCTTGTTTAGTAAATGGTGCTTGGGACGAGATGAATGGTTATGGCGATTTGTAGATCAGACTTTGCTTTTTCAGGTTTCAGACTGGAGAAAGGCAATTTCGTATATGTTGCTTCTGTGCTAGGAAAAGGATTGCAAGCTATGTACCAATTATTGGGCATGAGAATGGAGCGGGGACCCTAATCCCCATGATCACATCCCTGTCCCCGTCCTCATCCTCGTCCCTAAAGGGGAATGTGGATCCCCAAAGGGTGATCGGTTTTTTTCCCCACTACATAAAATATTATAAATCAAATGCGTTAAACACCACATTCAATCAATGATTATCCCATGTTTAAATCTCACACATATTTTCAAATTCGCTTTTATAAAGTATTAAATATAAACAAAATCATAATATCATACATAAATGTGTGGTCAAATGTTTTCGGGTTTTAACATTTTATAAAAAAAAAAAAAAAAGTAAGACAACTCATAAGAGATGTATATAAGAAGAATGTCAAAATACTATTTCTCAATTTAAAATATATTAAATTTAATTCTTTATAAATAATATATTTAATAATAAATATGTAATATATTTAACATTCGGGGACGTGGACCACGTTACCCGGCCCCATCCGTATCCCCGGTTTTTGTTTTCAAGAATCCCCGTTCCCATCCCCGGTCCCGGTTTTGCAGGGAATCACCATTCCTGTCAGGACAGATACACTATGTTTTCCAATGAAACGGATCTCATTTCCGTGCCTAACAATTATATTTGTTTGACTCATAAATCATGAACTTGGGTTCGCTGATTTTTACTATTGTTATCATTTAGAATATCAATTGCTTTAATGTTTTCACTCTTTACCCTTGCTTTACTCATTTAATAGCTTAGTTGTTTTTGATTTGTTAATTGTTGCTTCTCTAGCGTCTTTGCCCTTTGTTCCTTTGGTCCATTTGGAATATTGAATTCCATCATTTAGTTGAAAATCTTGTCTTACCATTAAAAAAATTGGATTTTAGTGCACTTTAGTTCTTAAAAAAACCTTAAAGATAAAATATTAATGAATTACATATATGTATTTTTATATTTTACATGTTTATAGTGTAAGATCTCTATGTTAGTTGAGAAGAAGAACAAAATTGCTCTATAAAAGACTGATGTTTTAAAATCGTGAGTTCATGTATGGATAAAATGGACAATATCTCGTATTGAGATGTTACAGATGGTATTAGAACTGAAAATTTGTACGAGAGGATTTTCGTATCATCATTAAAAAAATTTAAGTATAAAATAAAAAAATGTTTTTTTAATTAAAAATATAAACATATAAAATTTGACAGGGAAAAGGAGAAAAAATCAAAGAAGCCAACGAAAGGGTTCATTCTGTTGAGAACAACGTGCTCCGTTAACTGACGGAGTCCAGATCAGAAGTCGAAGATCGGAAGACGACAAAACCACCATTTATCTCATATCTTTCCCTCTGATCGCGATTCTTCTCCATTCGTCCTTCCTCTCTGGTCAGTGTTCTGATAGAAGTAGTTTTAGAGAGAGAGAAAGAGAGTAACTATGGCGGCTTCATCTTTCTCTGATACGAGCTACATTTCGAAATCAAGCATTTCCGATTTCAGTTTCAGTACCGAACACTCGAAAACTTTGCTGTTTTTGAAGTTCGAATTGAGCAGGAGGCTACATTCTAAAAGAAGGAATTTATCTGTGACCAAAGTCGCTAGCAGAAATCAGGAGCTAGAAAAATTGATAGATCAATCAGTTCAAGAAGGTATTTTATATAATTTTTTATTATATCTCTTAGTTTTTCATGATTGTTATGTGAGAATTTAATACGCGTGGATTGTTCTCTTGAGATTGGGCTTATATGTCGTTGAATTCTACTTGCAATGTCAATGGAATAGTGTTTTTATACCTTCTTGTTTTTATTGTTGTTGTTGTTGTACAGTTGCGCAGCTGAACGTGTTTTTCTTTTTAATTTAGACACTGAGGGTTATATGTCGTTAGCATAAGAAAATTACTGTTGCCGCTATAAGAATCTAAATGTCATAAATTGTAACATAGATAGCCTCAGTTGTTTTAACTGATGTTAAACATTTTAAACCTGAATTTGTATGTTCTGTTTTCGGATGTAGTTAAGTTTATAATCCGTTAATCCCATAGCAAAAAGAGCCACATGTTTGATCACAGAATTCGAGCCTACTACTCTTTGAAATGCAAATTTGGTCCATCAGTTTTCTCAATTTTGTTATTATTAAGGGCCATTTAGGCATTTGAATATTATTCAAGCCTCTCGTTAAATGCCAAGTCAAATTGAGCGTGTTACACATTTAACACGCTCAATTTTCTATTTGAAGAGTTTGGCTTAAGTTTAATGTCGTTGTCTAGTACTCTAGAATATTTATCAATTATGAAGTTAAAACCTTGAAAACGAGTCAATTTGTTATCAAAAGTCAAAATGTATTCGTCCATCAATTCTTATTGTTGGAACACGCAGAGTAAGTTGTTCACAAAGAAAGATGGTATATAAGGTTACAGAAGAGGTTTGACTAGCAGGAGGCTTTCCATTAGAGTTCTAGTGCATTGACAATGTGTAGTCATGTTGATTCGTTAAGAGCAATGTGGAAGCCAATTGCTGATAGTGGAGAATCATATATGGGCCATATGGGCCGGTTTCTCGTCACCCATCTAATAAACAACTATATATTGTCATGTTATGGATTTTAAACTTTTTATCGTCACGCAGAAACAGATGATTTGGATAACGGGATCCTTGTTCCTGATTCTGAATCTGTTATATCAAGCATCAAATACCATGCGGAGTTCACACCCTTATTCTCTCTAGAAAATTTTGAGCTTCCAAAGGCATTCTATGCTACTGCTCAAAGTGTTCGTGATGTGCTCATCACTAACTGGAATGCCACATATGAATTCCATGAAAAGATGAACGTGAAGCAGGCATATTACTTATCTATGGAGTTCCTTCAGGTGTGTTGTAGTCTTCTGTTGTGGTATTATGTTCACTTCACAGTTGGTGCATATTTTGTTTTTAATCTTCTTATTTCTTGAATCTTGATTGTCCTAGGGAAGAGCATTGCTAAATGCCATTGGTAATTTAGAGCTGTCAGGGGCTTATGCCGAGGCTTTAAGGAAACTGGGTCATAATCTGGAGGATGTTGCTAGGCAGGTGAGCCTATTAGAGTTTACTTATGCAACTGGTAATGTTTGGTGGCTTCAATCTCTGTTATACATTGTTTCTAGCTGTCTGCTTATACCCATATTCTTAAACTGCTCAAACTTGTCGTTCTAAGACCCCCGAGTATTTGCAGCAATATTATGCAATTAAACCTTTCAACCTACATGAAGCACTTCTAAGTTTGTTCGAATCATATAGCGGTTCTATTGATCCACTGGCCATGTGGCAATAAACGTTTCCCCTGGCCATATGGCAACAAATGGTTTCACTTACGAAAGGGGTTCCTGATCATTGTGACTTCATTGAAACACACTGCAATCATTCAAACCTTAGCTTCGACATATAATTTAATCTTGAAAAGTAGGATGATTTGCAAGCTATCGTACGGATCTGCATATTACTCGAAATGCATTTACTAGTGTCTTAATTAATTAGTAGTTGACAGGAGCCAGATGCTGCACTTGGAAATGGAGGTTTGGGCCGACTTGCCTCCTGCTTTTTAGACTCCTTGGCAACACTGAATTACCCTGCATGGGGTTATGGTCTTCGTTACAAATATGGTCTTTTTAAGCAACTGATTACAAAAGATGGCCAGGAAGAAGTTGCAGAAAATTGGCTTGAGGTTCTCATCTTCATCTTCATTCTAGTTATTAATGATGATTCTCTTTATTACATAACCTTATAGGCTTTGCTGTTCTCGATTATTTTTGGCATCTGCTTTTAGGTTCATTCCTGTTCAAATACATATATTTCTACCTGCAATTGTTAAATTTATTTTACTGTACTTTGCAGATGGGTAATCCCTGGGAAGTACCAAGGAATGATGTCTCTTATCCTGTAAAATTTTATGGTGAAGTTGTTACAGGCCCAGATGGATATAAGGAATGGGTTGGTGGAGAAGATATCATGGCTGTTGCCTATGATGTTCCCATACCTGGATATAAAACCAAAACAACCATCAATTTAAGATTGTGGTCAACAAAGGTTGCACCAGAATATTTTGATTTACATGCTTTCAATTCTGGAGATCATGCCAAAGCATATGAAGCCCTTAAAAAAGCAGAGAAGGTTTGTTTTTAAGTTCTACTGTCTTACAGTTTCCTGGTTTGGTATTTCATTTGCAAATTCCATATTCCCCTAATCTGCATGAATAATTGCTTGTTTTGTACACTATGTGGAACTTGAGTTCTGCAGGTAACTGGAACCGTATTCTGCATTGTTTTCTTAAATGTGTTTTTCAGGAGACACCACCCCCCGATTATTTACCTGTGTTTATTACATATATTTTAATACCATAATACCTTCCTTTGAAAATCTATCTGATAAACACTGTCATTGCAATTCGTTAATTTTGATCAGATTTGCTACATCTTATACCCTGGAGATGAATCATTTGAGGGGAAGACTCTTAGATTGAAGCAGCAGTATACACTATGCTCTGCTTCTCTTCAAGATATAATTGCACGATTTGAAAGGAGATCTGGGAAGTCGCTCAACTGGAGTGAATTCCCTGAAAAGGTTGCAGTACAGATGAATGATACTCACCCCACACTATGCATACCAGAGTTATTGAGAATATTGATGGATAGTAAGGGGTTGAAGTGGAAAGAGGCATGGGAAATCACTCAAAGGTTAAGTTCTTAGTCAACTAAGCATATTTAATGTGGTTACCAAGTGAATGGAAAACTTTTCACAGCTTCTGCGCCTCATCTAGTTTAATTTATTTGTGCATGATTGTACATAGTCTCCTTCTTTCCACCCCCCGGAAGGAGTTGTGGAGTTCATAGTTGGAGTAACACCAAAAAGAATATGAACGATGAAATCTTCTGTATGGACAGTCGCTGAGCCCTGTAGGTGTACCACAAAGTGCATTCAGTATTGACCCTTGTTAATATTGTCATTTGCTCGATGTGAAACTATTTATACTTGCATGAGTATCAAATCTCAATGAACATATATGCTGACTTTTCATTTCAAAACCTCAACCATGCCATGTTGGCCTCAAGCTTTAGTAATAAGTATTCATCAGAGTTCGAACTTCTGACAGAACCGTCGCATACACCAATCACACTGTTCTACCAGAGGCTTTAGAGAAGTGGAGTTTGGATCTTCTGCAGGAACTACTTCCTCGGCATGTTGAAATAATAGAATTGATTGACAAGGAGGTATTTCCTAACCTTTTCTTTACAGCTACATTCAGATATCGCATTACACGTCATTTATGGAATCTTCTTTTCTTTTCTCGGTTTTCCCTTTAGTTTTCCTTAAAAGAATGAAAGCACAATTTGTGCACCTCAATGTTGAGACCCTGCTCTTATACCTTCTTATGTCTGATTTTTTACTCAGTTGATTAATACCATCATTGCTGAGTATGGTATTGAGGACATTGAATTGCTGAAAGAAAAACTGAAGCAGATGAGAGTTTTGGACAACGTTGAACTACCTGCGTCCATCTTGGAGTCGCTTGTTGAACCTGTGGAAAGTCCCATTCTTGATTTAGTTGAAGAAGCAAAAAGTTCCGAGGAAGTGACAGAATCAGCAAGTGAAGATGATGAGCTCAAAGTGAAGGAGGCAAAGGATGCCGGTAGTAGCACAAAGGTGACATTTGAGACGGATCCAAGACTGCCAAAGATGGTGCGCATGGCTAATCTTTGCGTTGTTGGCGGGAATGCTGTTAATGGGGTTGCAGAAATCCATAGTGAAATAGTGAAAAATGAAGTTTTTAATGAATTTTATAAGGTAATCTGATCAGTAAATAATTTTACTATTCACCATGTCTAGTTATTCTTTAGGCCACATTGTTTTTAGTATTCTTACAGAAAAAACTCTCTTCCTTCAGTTTTCTGTTATTATTCTTTATACAGCTGTGGCCTAAGAAGTTTCAGAACAAGACAAATGGGGTGACACCAAGACGATGGATCAGTTTTTGTAATCCAGAGCTAAGTAAAATTATAACCAAGTGGACCGGGACAGAAGACTGGGTGCTAAACACTGAAAAGTTGGTGGAACTTCGAAAGGTGGGATCACATATTTTGTGTACCCTTGTTTTTATTTTCCCACACGTTTTTGGGTTCAAGAAATTAGATTGTTGAGAAAAATTGAATTCCATTTGCTACAAGTGAAAGTTAGTTGTCATTGTGACATGACGAATATCAGTTCATATCTTAGATCAATGCCAACTCTTGTGGAATGAAACTTGGAATGTCAAGTTGTGGAAATCTTCAATATCCTGGTGTAATTAACTGATTAGTAAGAACGAAATAACTGAATGGATGGCATCAAAATTCAGAATCATATAGGCTTGAGGCCTTTTACATGCTTAAGCTCCCCTTGCATTTGCTAGCCTTAGGTGTATGAAAAGTGGTCAAACTAACTTAATAAGTAGCTTAACAGTTGCAAGTACTATCTCTTATTGAATGTTGCTTTTCTTTTCCTGACCATCAGGGGCATATGTAAATATAGAACACCAGGTTTCTTTAGTATCATGATTGGGAAATTTTGCATGCTGTTAGTTTCTGATTTTGTCTTTTACAGTTGTAGTCTTAATAAAGTTGTTGCACTAGTATGTCGATATACGATATAGATGTGATTTATATGTTGAACATTTACTTTTGTCCTTTTCCATGCAATTTGCATTGTTCTTTTCAGATTATTTTATTTGCTTCTGGTCTTTGGAGTTTTGGAATTAGAAGCTAATATATGAAATTAAAAAGTGGATACCACTTATTAGTACTTTGACTATTCATTATTTTGCAGTTTGCTGATGATGAAGAACTCCAATCTGAATGGAGGAAGGCCAAAAGGAACAACAAAGAGAAAACTGTGTCCTTCCTGAAAGAAAAAACTGGATATCTTGTCAGCCCTGATGCAATGTTTGATGTGCAGGTTATTTTTCATTTCTCTTATGTGAAAGGAACTTTTGCTTATAATCCCAACATGAGATGTTACATTTGACATGTTGTAGTCTGGGAAGTACGTTGACTACGGGTATGTTGCAAGAACCACGCTAACCAAAAACCCCTAAATTGGGTGGTCCATAGACTTGATGCAGTTAGAGTGAATGAAAACATTAAAAGATCAGTATTTATGTCATCTAAGATCAAATGCTTTGGCTAAAATAGCAGCCTCTCCTATATGAAGCAGCTATACGCACCTGGATGATTTCCATTCGTAAGTATTAAAATATGAATTTCTTTTCTGTACAGTCGTAATTATTAGACTTGAATAAATCCCAACTACATGTTGAAAATTACACTTGGGCTATCCTTGTCAAGAGACCCGTGTAAAAACTTATGTTGATCTATAATTTATGCGACGGTAAAAAAGGATTTAGCTAGCCTCCCACCATGTCATGGCCGCTGTTAATTCTTGATATCATTGAGTTAAATTCAGTAATTTGATGCAAAACTGCAAATTATTCGTAGGATGGGATCAACGAGTCACCAATTTTAGTAAGTTCTTTTGCATTCATTAACAATAGGATCTACATCGACGTAAATGATGTAACTGCTGCTTTTTGTGTGGGCTTCAAGTTGACTAACTTGTTTATGCAGGTGAAGCGTATTCATGAGTACAAAAGACAACTGTTGAATATTTTGGGAATTGTTTACCGGTATAAGAAGATGAAAGAAATGAGTGCTGATGAAAGAAAAGAGAAATTTGTTCCTCGAGTTTGTATATTTGGAGGAAAAGCATTTGCTACCTACATCCAAGCCAAGAGGATTGTGAAATTCATCACTGATGTCGGTGCTACTGTAAACCGTGATCCTGATATTGGTGATCTTTTGAAGGTACATATTGACTAGCTTTGCCGTTTCTTTCTAGTTCCCAGTAGATGGCATCTATTTTTCTGTTGGCCTTTCTATGATAACAAAGACGAGAGCATTAAAACAGAATGATTCCGTTCTTTACACCATTTTTCTCTATTCTTCTCCATTTTGAGTCCCATCTTCATTTGTCCTCGCATCAGTTGATGAAACTAACTGCCACTTTTTATTCAGTCTACATCTTATGAAAGAGACCCACAAAATAAAATGTTAAGTAGCTAAAACGAAGGAGCCTAAACCATGTCATATGAAATCAAAAGGTCAATTTACGGAACCTCCTTTAGATTTTCTGAGAATGAATCTCTTTGGCTATGCCCATGTCTGTTCAACAGTGATCATGTGCACACATGACACAAACATGGTGGAAATTTCATTAGAAATGTCACATTCGATGCTAGGCCTTGCAGCTCCTACCCATAAGTCACTGGTTCGAGCCTCCTCAGGGCCACTGGGGATCTTCCTGGTTGTTATCTCCAGGGAACCATGGCATTAGTCGAGCTGCATGCATGCTGACCCTGACACCTATGGTTTCCAAAAAAGAAGTTGATCAACTCCATTGGAAGTAATGACAATCCTTTCTTTTGTTCTAGGTTGTCTTTGTCCCAGATTACAATGTCACAGTAGCAGAAGTTCTGATTCCTGGAAGTGATCTGTCAGAACACATCAGGCATGCTGGTTACGATTTATCACACAATTTTTTTTATTAAACCTTCTGGTTTCACTTCATATGGAAGTACTAATTGTTGCTGCCTTTATGATTCTCAGCACTGCTGGAATGGAGGCAAGCGGTACCAGCAACATGAAGTTTGCAATGAATGGTTGCATCCAAATTGGAACTCTGGATGGTGCCAATGTTGAAATAAGGCAGGAGGTTGGAGAGGAAAACTTTTTTCTTTTTGGTGCTGAAGCTCATGAAATTGCTGGGCTACGAAAGGAGAGGTCCGAGGGGAAGGTTAGCTTAACAACTTTATATATGCCAAATGCAACCATGCGAATCGTCACATATCATATATGCATAAATGATTTCAACAGATTTGATCAAAACATTGAATTTAACTATTAACACAGAAAATTACTAAGTTATGTTTCTCACTTGATTTACCTAATACACAGTTTGTTCCTGATCCACGATTTGAGGAGGTCAAGAAATACGTTAGAAGTGGCGTTTTTGGTCCATACAACTATGACGAACTCATGGGATCTTTGGAAGGGAACGAAGGGTATGGCCGGGCTGATTATTTTCTTGTGGGGAAAGATTTTCCAGCGTATATAGAGTGCCAAGAGGAGGTTGATAAGGCATATCGAGACCAAAAGGTGAGTGTAATCCTTTCACTCTTAAGATTGGTGCTCAAACTTATCTCCATGCATACATTTTTCACATTAAAGGAACAATGCATTTTCACTTATAAGTCATGTATTTTAGTATCATACATCAAAACTACAAGCTTCTTTGGAGATGAGGATGGATCGAAGGAGAAATTTGAATATCCCTTAAATAATTCATCCATTAAGCGAGAGTCATCTGATGTTTTCAAGGGAGTATACCAGTAGTAGATCATTCGTTTTTTTCCTGAAAAATGAGACCTCTATATGAAAGCATCGAATTCCCTCAACATGCCCAGAATTATATAATTTACATCCAACTACATTTTGATCTACGTATAAGAAATCATCAACCACCAAAGGGCCTTTGGCTAGCGGTATGAGTTTAATTGTTGCATTTAAATCATCAACCCCTTTACCTGATGCTTTAATATCTTTTCTTCTAAAGAAATATTATTAACATCTCTAATTCGTTAATGTTGTAGAAATGGACAAAGATGTCAATCTTGAACACTGCTGGTTCATACAAGTTCAGCAGTGACCGGACTATACACCAATATGCACGCGAAATTTGGATGATCGAACCTCTTGTATTGCCATAATCAGATTGGAGCTCAACTTTTATGCATGTAAGTAATCCTTGCTTGCACTTAAATTTCTTATTCAGATTAACAAACTAAAGCTTGCAAAATCATATTTTACAAGCTAAACTGTGTTTGTTTTGAGTCATAAATCATTGGCATCTAATTAATTCTTTCAGTTTCAAGCAATATACCTTTTCATTGTTCTCTTTCTATATATCAATTTCTATGGTCCCACTAGGAAAAGTTCTCAGATTCTAATCCTAGTTCATGTGCTCTAGAAGGCCATTCAACTTTATTCCGAAGTCTATCTTGATTGATGGCATCTCATTATTTACTTTTGAATTCTATATTTGTTATAATTCTTTTATATATATATATATATATATATATATATATATATATAAAGAGAGAGAGAGAGAGAGGGGTTGGTTATTATACAACACTTTACATTTGTACAACCAATACAACTCAATCTCAACCGTCCATTTAATTTGATGAATATGTGATTTCATAGAAGTTTTGATTGTTTTCTAACATAAAGTATTAATCATAATTAATGAACTCTATTCATCTTTAAATATTCAAATAATAATAAATGAACTCTCATCATTTTCATAAACATCTCAATTTATTGGGTTGCATTGGTTATACAAATGTGATGAGTTGTATTTGAAACGATCTCTCTCTCTCTCTCTCTCTATATATATATATATATATTATGTTTTTATACTATTCTTATTAGAAAGAACTATACAAAACAAAGTATAATTTTTTTTATCTGTCATCAAACAAAAATACAATGTAAAAACATTTCAAAATATATATAGGGGCATGTTGTTTTGAGAACTCTCTAGATCGTGAGAACTCTGAGAACCAATCTTTCATGTGTTATTTCATATAAGATTTTCTTTATCTATGGCTAGAATTCAATGTGGTAATTTTGTAAAATAAAAAATACACGTAAAAAAAGTTTCAAATTGTCAACCGAATATATATGAAACAAATACATGTTAATCAATACATTAGGAGTTCTCAAATGATTAAATCATGTCCTCTAAGAAAATGATTAAGCCATGTATATATAGATAGATAGTTTAAAAGAAATAAATATATTTACCTTGTCTTTCTAATAAACTCTAAAAAGTCATTTTTCAATAAAATGAAAAAGTAATAATAGCTTTATCAACCTGATAGACCGTCTATACTATATTATCGAAGATTTTAGGGATAAAATTAGGGTTCTTTCCATTAACTTGATCGATGGAAATACATCAAAACTAGGTTTGTATAGTTAGGGTTAACAAAAGAGAATAAAAGAAAGACTAATTAATGACTAATCTACCCTTAAGGACTGATAATGACAACAATAATAATATATTTTAAATGTTAACAATTACAAAATTACGTTAAAATATTTTTTTTAAGGCAAACATTTTATTATAATGCAAAGAAACGTATAGAAAAAAATGAAAAAGAGCTTTTGCAAGTTGCAAAACCAATCCGAAACAAACTAACAAGAAACGAAAATAAACTGAATTAACCTAGATAGAAATAACAGCAGTAACCAAGATCATCCAAGACCAAAAACTGGAATACCAGCAACCGAAAAGACTCACGACACAAAAGAGGATATCAAAAACAGCGTAGTAAGCCAAAAGCCCTACAATATATAATACTTTCGAATTCTTCTCGAAATCCAGTTGTAAGATCTAGTTTGTATACCAGTAAATTTAACATCTATATGAAGTTACAACTCATATAAGAAGTGTTTCAGCCATTATGAAAATTGGTCAAGTGGTTAAAGGGTAGTTGTTAGAAGTTGTTAACTGCTAGTGTATTAAACTATAAATATTATATGTACTCTAGTATTGGAACGCTCAATGCATTTAATCAAATTACTCTTAGGGGCTGTTTGAATCATAGGAATTGAAAGGAATTGGAATATCCAATCCTTTGACCAAATTCCAAATGGAGTGTTTGGTTCAATGGAATAAGATCATGGAATCCTTTCAATTCCGGTCAATTCTTTCACGCATAGATTTCACCATTCCACGACAACATGCTAGGATTTCAATTCCTTTTCTACAGATTCATCCTCTAATCCAAATTCATTGAACGCCTCTACCATCTCATCTATTGCATTTCTGGTTCGATCTCCAGGTACGCTCTCTCTCTCTCTCTCCCTCTCGTAAACAAAATTCGATCGCCAATCTGGTTCGATCTTCAATCACTCTCTGGTTCGATCCCAAATTGAATGGAATTAGGGCACCGATCACTTCTTTAAACAAAATATAGTGAACAATTTCAGATATATTAATATAAGTGAACAATTTCAAATTTTATCTGATGTTAATAATGTAATTTGGTTTAATGGTAATTTAATTTTTTTTTAAATGACAAGAAAAATCATAAAAGGTCATTTGTTGATATTTAATTCTGATTCCAAAGTTGAATTCCGTTAACCAAACAAAAAAAATTCCAATTCCGTTAAAAATTCCATTCCAATTCCATGCAACCAAACGCAATCACAAGACAAGGTCAAATTCCATTGATGAATTTCAATTCCATCGAATTCCATTCTACGAACCAAACGCCCCCTTAGAACTTGCTCTACTATAATATGGTATTAGAGCTATTACATTCTCACCGTTTCTAATTTAGTTCTCCGATCATCTGAATCATGCCGAAATCTTCGAACACTCCATTATCTCCGTAATTTCAACAATCATGATAGGTTTCATCCTTATTTTATCCGTTATTTAACAACCTTGTCAGGTACCTATTTCTCTCGACTATTAACGAGAAAATTGCTCAGCTTGGAGCCAATTCTCATACAAGGTTGGTTTTGCCGTCGAAACTTTGCACAAACCAGATGACAATGATCCTATGATGTTGAATTCATGAATTTGCAACAACATTGTCATGTCATGGCTACTAAATTCGGTTCAATAAGAGATCTATGTCGTGTGATGTTTGTAGAGACAATTATTAATTTAAGTTTTTTATATTAATTTTAATTTTAGTATTTTAAGAGCATTCAAAAAAAATCTATACACAAGCAATAAATCGAGATAAATATGTATTTCATTTTATGGATAATTATGTAATTTATTTATTTATTTCAAGATTAAATGTATTAGAACAAAATTATTAAAAAAAATTATAAAATACCACAAGAAACAAAAAATAGAAATAACTATTTTATTATTTTTTATTTTAATTTATGTATTTTATTATATGTTTATGTAGATTTGTTAAAACAAAATAGAGTACATTGATTATTAAAAAAGCATACAAGAATTTGAGTTTCTATAAAAACTTGTGACTGAGACAAGAATCTGTGACAAGTGATCAGGTCTTACAAGAACCTGCAATTAAACCTCTACTGTGGATGGTAGAATCACCCTAATGAATCAGATCCTTAACAGGAGATTAAAAAAGGAACAGAAAGGGAAGTATAAGAATTAGGGACAGTAATGTAAATGCTTATTTGGTAAACATTTATTTGTAAAATTTAACATTATTACTTACTTTACCGGGTAAAATTTAGTCCATCAAAACAGTATTATATGTAACAATTTAATTGGTAAACATTTACCAGGTAAGAGTCATCATTCTCACTTACCTAGTAAGACTCTCGTTCATTACCATCAGTTGTGGATTGACTAGGGGCCTAAGATATAAAAAAATCCGAAATCATATAATTCATCCAAACCAAAACGGTTTCAGGTTATTTGGTTTACAGGTTACATGTTTCGGTTAACCAAGTAAGGTAAATTACGATTTCAATTTTTTTTTACCATATTGATTAACCGAATAGTAAAGTATATTATTATTTAATTTATATAATTTCCTTCTACATAAATTGGTTTCAACATATATAAAACATAAAAACAAGAAATTGAGATATATTTAACAAAATCATCAACCAACGTTATCATTGTAGCATGATTACAGTAACTAACGGTAACAATATATGGGGATAACGGCTGTCAAACAAGAAAGTGGAGGGTTGTTCAAAATAACTGGGGGGAACTAAGCACATAAAAGTAAATAAACAAAATTTTAAATAATTTACATCTGAGTGGGGCCTTTCCATGTTCGCCACATTATTATCAGATAAGTTTATCGGTCCTTAACATATTCATCCAGTAAGGTAAGTGACCTAATAAATATTTATCAGGCAAACATCATGTAAACGGCCTTTTATTACAAATTCATTTATTACATATGTCAAATCAAACATGTTTTTAACATTTTAAATGTATTAGTTAGACTACAACTTTTTTTAAAAATACTATAGTATGTCTAGATCAAAGGTTAAAACAATAACTTACTTCTTCCATTCTAAAATAAGTGTCTACATTATTATTTTAGTTTGTCTTAAAATCATAACAGAAGAGAGTATAATAAAATAAAAAAAATACATTATATTCATTAAGTTAATAAATAAATAAAAAAACATCCTATATATTTTTTTTAAGAGCATACAACTTTTTATAGTATATGTACATAATCATATGAATGGTTAAAAAAGAGTTGAAGAAAAGGGACTTTTGAACATATCTCATTTTCAAAGATTTCCTTAAATGGTGGTATATTACCACCACTAACTTTATGATCATGAGATCATACCAACTATAGTATTAGAAGTGGTGCTTATGATCATTTCATCAAGGTTCATTGCTCCTACCCCCCTCTTTACCTTCATAATGTTGCTTATTTACAGTCCACATAATTGTGTGTATTTTCTTTTCAAATTCTAAGGTTGAGTTTGCTTTTGGTGCACCAAATAAAGTAGCAACAACTCCATGTCCACATAAACTAAGTGTCTATTTGTTCTTATTCGTTCAGTTATATATGATTATTTAGTAGTGGCTTGATGATATAGAAAGCGGTTTATTCACTAACATTCTAGGGGGGACTTTATGTAGAAAAAGCCAAAAAAATTCTTCCAAATTTGTCCCTCCGAGTTAAATTTTTTGCCTGTTAAGTTATAACATGATTCATGTTGTACAAACTGTATAAGGGACCGCTTACCAAACTTTTACGGGGTAAGCATTTACCATATATCACTTACCTTGTTGAGTGAGTATGCCAAGGACCGAGGTAAGAGACATATCAAAGACCGATGATCTTACTTGATAAGTGATGGAGAAGATTCTTACTCAGTAAGCGCTTATGAACGATCCATTTTAATGGCCGAA